AATGCAATGCAATGAAATATGATAGGATGAATGTGAAGCTGAAGTGGGACAGAGGCAAATAATGTATGCACAACCTTGGAACAACAGGGCTCTGGGATACAGAGATTGAGACAAGGTTTGAATAGGGAAAATAATGTTAAGATACTTGACTGTCTTTTGAATCTTGGTTTCCCTGGTGTACCACTATAAAATAGACACTGGAGGGGGAGAGAAAAGAATAGACAGAAACACCACCATAGAAAGCTTTTAAGTCTGTCTTCTGCCTATAACTGATTGGAATACCTAAAATGGGGCTACAATATGCCCAATGAAGGAGGCTTCCTATGGAACCTCTGCATTATACAAGACCATAGGTGGAATCCTGAACAGCATCCAGAATCTTCTGAGGTGGGAAATTTCCACGTGAAATGACAAGCAGACCAGCCTGGAACAGCCAGAAGAACAAAAGGTACTTCCTGAAAGAAAGACTGACAGGAAAAATACAAAACAATATAGGCAGACCGACTGATTACTACAAGAACAAACAAGAGGCTCACCCAGGAGACATCAAGGCAAATGGTCGGGTCCCCCTCAGGGCAAACCCCCTTCTAAGACTAAGACTCAATGGGAATAAACCCCCTGACTGGTTATCATGTTCGTCACCGTTAAAGGGAAGTGAGGGAAAAGCAGCAATGAAGCTGCAAGCTGAGCCCTACAATGCTCAATAGACTCCTGTGAACCCAGATGGAGACCGGGTTGACCAGCAGTGTGGCAAATTCAGGGCACTCTTGGACCCAGAGTCAGCAACATAGCCATAGAGGACTAGAGTGGAGAGTGAGGCGTCCAGCTGATAAGAAGAGAGGACACATGCATAAATACACACACACTTGCAGATAATACCCACTTGACCTGGCTTCAACGACTGGATGATTAGAGCTCAACCAGAAGAAGAAAGAAGAGGGGAAAAAAGAATAATCTGATACAATTTGGTGAACTTGACATACACCTATGGAAACAGTAGCTCAAAAGAGGGAACAAATCTTCACAGTGAGGATCATTCCCACCCCCTCCGCACACGGAGAGGACAGGGATGGGCAACTTGGACACTGGCTACCCAGATTGAGGGGGCGCTACAGAGGCAAGAGTGACTGGCTTACAAGATTTCCAGAGGGAGCCTAGACCCAGAGGGTGTAGAGCAAGGTAGAATCTCCACTGAGTAGTATCCAATCTGTCTAGGTGGGCTAATGAAAGGAAATGCGGAAAGGTCTCTTGCGATATAATAGCGAGTAATTGTTATCAGGACTGATTGTAAGCACTGGAAATGTAAAGGTAGACGTTTTGTGACAA